GACAATAAGAATATAGATCATGCAATGGTGCGTAAAACATTTTTGTAAATGAATGTTTTCATAGTCTATGCTTAGGGAAAACGGATTATTCTGCAAAAATTAGTTAGAAGTAGGTAGGTAGATAATTCGTGCCAACCGAAGATAGATTATTATTAACTGAAATTTATGATTCATCTTTCTTTAAATAGAATTAAATGAATGTTATTGAGTTTAATTCTGAGTTATGCATAATATTGAAATCCCAAGGTTGAGACAATTGACCATAGTATGAGGTTTGTGGTGAAGTCAATCCCTAAGATCTTCTCTCTCTGATCTCAATCTTTTAATTAATTTAATTTTTAGTCATGCTATTGAATCACAACACAACAAACAAATCTTTCTTCTAAATTAAGATTTTAATTAATTGAAAACTTGATAAACCACCAAAGTCCTTGGGGTTCAACACCCTCTAAGTAACCCTATCCTGCAAAGGACTAATTCTATTACGAGCGGTAAAATAAATCACACATCACAGTGGAAGGTGGCGGCGGCGGTGGTGGTGGTATTGAAGGTGGTGAAAGACGGTGGTGGTAATGGTAGTGGTGGAAAGTGATGGAAGGCAGTGGCGGTGGTGGAAGGTGGTTAAAGGTGGTGGCGGTGGTTGAAGGCAATGGCAGTGGTGAAAGGCGGTGGCTAAAGCAGTGGTGGCGGTGGAAAGCGGTGGCGGTAGTAACGGTGGTGAAAGGCGGTAGCGGTAGTGGCAGTGGAGGTGGTGAAAGGCGGTGGCGGTGGAAAATAGCGGCTGTGGAAGGCTATGACGGTAGTGGTGGCGATGCAAAGTGGTGGCGGTGGAAGGCGTTAGCGGTGGTGAAAAGCGGTGGCGGCAGTAGCGGTGGCGGAAAATAGCGGTGGTGAAAGGCTATAGTGGTGGAAGGTGGTGGCAGTAGTGAAAGGCAGTGGTAGTGGGGGTGGTGGTAAAAAGCGATCGCAGTAGCGGTGGTGGTGGTGGAAAACTGCGGGCGATGGTGAAAGTCGGTGGTAGTGATGGAAGTTGGTGGTGGTAGTGGTGAAAGGAAGATGTGATTGTGATGGAAGGTAATTGTAATACCCCTAGTTTTCAAAAGGATAAAATGAGAATTTAATTTTGCTTTTTGTTGCATTTTTATTTAATTATGTGATTTATGTGTTTTGTTTCCTTAAATGATAAATGGTGAATTTGCTTTATGTGTTTTTGCTTAATTGATTATTTGTGTGTATTTAAATTAATTGTTAATTAGAAATTGTGTTAATTTAATTGTTATGTGTTTTGAATGATTTAGTGGATTATATTTATTTATTTGTTTTCCTTTGTGTATCTGTTTTAAATGTCATGTCATTATTTAATTATTCATTTTATTGTAATAGACGTCTTTGGTTAATACAGTGTTTGCGTATATTTAGGTTTAGGGTTAGGTTTTATGTAATTAGGTTAGCCGACATATAAGTAGGCTGGATTTAGGATTAGGGTTTTGCATCTGTATCTATATATATAGAACAATATAGGAGTCTGCAAGGGTTTGAGAAACCCTATTCACGTATAGAGTTTGGGGAGGAAAAAACAGAGAAAAGGGTGAGAGGAAAACAGAGAGGGTCTCCCGTGATAATCTGTGAGGCTAAAAGGAGGAAGAATAGAGGAAGAACAGAGGGGTTATTTCTGGATGGAACTAAGAAGCAATAGAGGAATGGAGCAGTGATCAGAGGAAGGAACAGTATTGGAGAATTCTGAAACTTGGAGATGACGCTGTAAGGTTTCAAACCAAAACCTAAAGGCAAGTTTCGTTCTATCTCCTTCCTGTAAACTTGTGTTATGTGCATTCTATATAGTCTCCAGGACGTTAATTGAACTTAAAAATGGAATGTTGATGCATGTTTTCAGACCTTAAATTGTTCGTATGTTTAGTTAACTGAAACTATTATTCTTGCATAAACTGTTTTGTTATGCTTTAAGTTTTTGGTCGATTAAATCACGCAGGTTTATGAAGGGTTTCTAGGACTTTAGGAACTTAAATAGAACCCTAAGAATGCTACAAAGGTTTGGGATAGGACACTGGACTTCGCCGGAAGCACAGACGACAACCGGACGAAGCAGAGGCGAAGCAGTGGAGCAGAGAAGGCTCTAAGGGGGGGAGAGCCGGCTCCCTAAGTGAGGGAGCCGGCTCCCATGAAGGTAGAGCCGGCTCTCCATGAGGGAGAGCCGGCTCTGGAAGATGAAGAGCCGGCTCCCTTGAACAGAAACCCCTCCGGGGGTATTTTTGGTAATTTTCTGACTTCAGGGGCTTGAATGGAGTTTTCGGAAAGTTATGGGAGGTTGTAAATAATTAAAATTAACTTGTTAGTATAATTTGGTGGGTTAACTGGAGAAGACGGCATGAATTATAAATATTAAAGGTTAATGCCGTCAAGAAAGAAGGAGGACTATATTGCTAGTAGTTTAGCAAATTCGATGAATTGATATAAAAGGGATTTTTAGGATTTTATATTAGTGATATATGTGAACATATTTTCTGTTCCAGGAATGTTGGTTATGCTGTGGTTATGAGCGTCATGTAATTTCAACAAGTAACTTGCATGCCGTCGGGAGTTGTAAAGGTTTTAGTACGAGTTTTGTGTTAGCAAACTAAATGGACTAGCATGAAACCACGACTAGGAATTCACATAGTGTACTCTGTCTAGACCTCTGAGTGTCATTATGTCAGGAGCAGGATTTATACATTGAGGATTAAAGGGACGTCATGAGATTAACTACTAATTTGCATGCCGTCGAGGAATGTGGAGGATTTCATTGCTTATCTTTGTTTTAGTGATTTAAATAAACTAGTATGAGAGTATGGTTTGGGATTTCTCGTATAATGTACTCAGTTTATAATTCTGATAATCATTATACCATGCTATGGATGTTAATTGATTAACTGTTTAATTTCTGTTTTATTAATTGTATGGATGTGCATAATATAAATTGTTTATCATTACTTTAACAATTTATTTGGAGGATTTATGATTATAATCATATACTGGACGCATGATGGGATCTTAATAATATCTGTTTTCTATTATGCTGGTTTATGAATATATTTGATGTTCATTTGAATGTGCATCATCTATGGATCATATGCATTATATGCACCGGTATGGGACGGTGGCATATCAGATATGGATTAGATCAAAAAGTTAAGTCCTACTTCTTCATACATAAGGAATGGATTAACTAAAACAGTTAAATCCTACATGGATGCATGTCCTGTCAACTAAAACAGTTGAACGACATAATAGATATTTGTTTTATCTTTCTGCACTATGAAGGAATTTATATATATACTTATAGTACCGTGATACGAGCTTGAGTCTCCTGATCACGGTTAGGGTGCATACATTGCTTGGATGGATAACTGGACCTAATGACGCTCCCTGGTAGGTCTAGGTGTGGCGTTTTGCATGTTACCTTCTACTCAGGTGTGATAACTGTAGGTTAGTGAGTATCTTATAGTGTGTATCTATATCTATATGGACTATTTTAGATATTGCCGAGCTATCTAGGATGTATCTGCGTATCGGATTTATGTACGGATTATAGTAGGATGGAACTTGCATGTGGGCCTGACCCATTCTTATTTTTCAGGTGTTCGTCAGTACTAGGCTTAGGGCTTGATCGTGTGGATGCAGCTACAGCCACTCACTCTTCCGATTACATAGGATTTCTTTTTTTATTTTAGGTTTGGATTTTGGTTTTGTTTTTATTGTTCATTTGGAGTTATTAGGGGTCCACTAGGTGGATTCCCGAGTTGTATGGATTTGGAGGATTTAAATGATATTAATTTATTATTTAAAGTTTGAGGATGTTTTCATTTTAGATTTCTTTCAGCGCATTATTATTTTTATTCTTAATTCAAAATTTTTTTTTTCTACTTATTTACATATTGATTGTCTGATATCCTTCGGATCTGTGCCCGGACTTGATCACCCGTGGCTCTAGAACCGAGGGGTATCACAGTAATGATGGTTTTTACACTTAAAATATGAAGGTTTTTTGGGAAGTTAAATTTTTTCCCAAATGAAATGGTTATTCCATAGGTTTAATTGTGGAATGAATTTTCTTTATCAGAAATGGATTTTCATTTCAATAGAATGGTCCTTCCCACTTTAAATTGTATACGAAACAAATGAATGGTTGGAATGGGCATTCCATTCTATTCATGCACACCAAATGCAACATTAATGCAATTTCAGTTCTAGATTTTGTAGAAATTAATTTCTTATAGAAGCATTCCATTACATTTCATAATATGAAACCCAGTTGTGAAAATGAAAAAAAAAAAATGGAAAGAGTTTGTTTTTCTAAATACAACATATGTATATACACACGCACACATATAGGAAAAAAAGATAGAAATAATTATGTATGAGATGAAATTTTAGGATAACGATTATGGAAGGATTTTAAGATAGTTACATTATGGAAAGAATTGTGTTTAAGTTGGAATTTTAAGATAACCACATCGGATTTGTATGTGAGTCCGTTTTTGTGGGGGTTCTATAATTGTCATTTATATCATTTTTCATAAGTAATTAATGTGTTTAAAAATAAATGGTGTGATTGATTAAATGATAAATTCTAGGAGTATGTTACAAGGGGTATTCGTCTCACATCGGATCCGGATTGAAAGTGAAAGGGATATATATGGGTAGATATGCAACACTACCCAATAATTTATCATTTTTGATAAATAGACAAATGCCCACCCGTTATAGTTGGTTTCATAACTAAAGGCTCAACCTGAAAGGCATCCGAGTAAATCACTCAGGTAAGAAGGGTGGCTCGACTGTGATAAGAACGTTGTAAGTTCTAGTCGAATATAAATGAACCGGTATGTAACACTATTTCATAAATGAGCAAGCATCCTATTTATTTATGATCTCAATCATTATTTGAGGGTCGAGAATGGGGAGTAAATTATTGGCTTTACTGCATGAGGTGGTTAAATTTGGCAAATCGAGTTGAATATATCAAGTGGGGCTAGAAGAGGAAATGGCAAGGAAGTGCAGATGCAGCAGCTGGTGTTTCCTATCCCTTCAGACTCACATCCCTCGTTACTGTACTTCCAAGCAGCTGGTGCCACTAACTCCATCACTTATCCCTTAAATTTATTATCAACAACAACAGCAAGAAGCATAAACCCTATTCCGTCATCGTCATCGTCATCATCCCAACTCTTCGCTGCATCTTCAAGACCTTTCCTCTCCAAATTTAGATCCTCTAATCTGGAGGGGTCTTACACTTCATTCAATGACGACGACGACGACGACGCTGATGATGCTGACTCCGACACCGACACCGACACCGACTCCTTTGGAAATTCTTTGTCCAACCATAAAGAAGTTCATGGCGTTGAGATTGAGTTAGAAAAGATTGGTAAAAATTCTTGCAGAATTCGGTCCAAGATTGCTATAAATGCGAGTCTCGAGACCGTCTGGAACATCTTGACGGATTACGAGAGATTGGCTGACTTTATTCCTGGACTTGCTCTGAGCCAGTTGCTTGAAAAGAGAGACAACTTTGCCCGTCTTCTTCAGGTACTAGTTAGTTTACTTTTCCTAATATTTCCTTCGAAAAGTGCTAAACTAAAAGAAAGGAAGATGAAATTTCGTTGACCGAATCACCACATTGACACATGAAAATTAAAACAAAGGAAGATGAAAATGTCGTAGTTGTCTGAATCTCTACATTGACACTTCAACATTAAAACAAAGGAAGATGAAATTTCTTGCAGTGGCCACCCTAAAATTTGATTTTTGGTTGGGAGCAAAAAATTAATACTCGCTCTTATTGTGATGTGAAATGTTCCAAGTACAAAATGTGTTGGAAAATAAACTTGATTTTAGTATTTAATATTTTCAAAGTAATTTTGTATCCATGATGCATGTGTGAATTTAGCACATATGTTAGTGGGTAGTAAATTGTGTTAGTGGGAGTTAGTGTGATGTTGAAGGTCACGTAAAATCAAGAGTCATGAGAGTTGAGCCTAGTAAATACTATGTTAGTGGGAGTTATGCCTATTAAAGATTATGTTAGTTGGAGAAATGAGAGTTATGGGCATTTATATGTAATTGATGGATATATGTTTGCAAGGCCTATATAATCATGTACTCTAGCAATTTCCTAAGTAGAATAAGTTGGGATCAAGTGAAATAAAAGTATTTTCCTCCATTTTATTCTCTTCCAAATATTGTATTGAGTGTTATGGGTGTATCTAGGCCACTATTTCCAACAAAGTGGTATCCGAGCAAAATCCAACAAAATTTTAGAGTGTCTCAACCTTTAGCTATTGTCAAAGTGGAATCGGTTCCATGTGTGGAGTGCAATTTTTTTGGCTTTGGCTACTACTAAAACGAACCTGTTCTGTGGGACGGAACCTATTCCGTTTCGGCAGTGAATAATAGGGAAGGAAGCCAGGAGACTTAGGAAAGGGTTGAAGATTTGGTGAAGAAGTTGTACCTACTATTTTAGAGTTGAAGAATGATATGGTAACTACTTGTATGCAAGTTGTGGAGTACTTGTCCAAAAAGACTGAAGATTTGGGAAAGAAGTTGTATCTACTATTTTAGAATTGAAGACTGATATGGTAACTACTTCTATGCAAGTTGTGGAATACTTGTCCAATAAGGAATTGAGTTTGAAGGTTCTATAAATAGAGATGAGTTTGGGTAGAGAGAGAGTGAGAAGAGAGAAAAGAGAAAAGATGTAAAGGTTGAAGGGTGAGTGTTGTGAGGAAAGAGGAGAGTATATGTAATTCCTTTTTTGATTCGTAATAGTTATAAAAACTCTCTCCATGGATGTAGCCCTAGAGTCGGGTGAACTGTGTAAAATATTGTATTGTGCATGGATGTGTATGATTATTATCTCCGTATATGCTTGTGTTGATGTGATGTGATGTGATGATGCTTCCATTGTGTGTGATGAAGGAGGGATTTAACTCTCAAGAACAGCCGACCGTTGAGGCGGTTGGAGGGAGTTAATTTATCCCCAACACAGAAGCCGTATATGCACTTCTAAGGTCACAACTTCGCTTAAACCCACACACTTCTATATCTTTCCTTGTCACTTCAATATACGTTAATTTTGGTCTTCTCCTTCTCCAGCATTATCCTCGATTTACTGTACATGATCAAACTAATTCAGTTAATTTTCAATTAAGTACTACTCCAACTGTTCTACAAATGTAACCATTTCCGATTATGTCCTTATCTCCCTTTACATTCATCTCAGCATTCACATTTCTATCATACTCATTTTAAGATCATGCTGATTGTTAGCCACTCAACACTCTGTCTTTTAGAAAGCAATTGGTACAATCACATTTTATAAAATTTTCGTTTACGTTAGTTACCTTCCATATATTCCTTTCAAATCCTACTTATTTCAATCCCATTTGACTTTAGAGCTCATCTCCTGTCCAGACCTCTATTCTAGCTTTTATCTTGCCTTAGTTTTATCCGACAAAACAATATCATTAGCAAATTTCATATGCTATGAAACCTTATCCTAAATATGTTTTGTTGGAGAAGGTAAGATGCGTAAGGTTGATTTCAGTTGGGATTGCTAGAGAATTTCAAGACTGCTGTATTAATGATTAAACAAGGCATTTTTCATAATTATCAGGTCTCCGACAACTACTGAGATAAAAATTCCAAAGGTTTTGACAGAGAACCCATAATTTTTTATTTTATTTTATTTTTTTATTTTTTTTCCCTGAATGGTTGGAAATTTCATTAACAGATAAAGACAATATTGTACAAACTACAGACATGATCTCTCAAAGATCATGATGGAGAACATAAAAAAAAAAAGAAAACAGAAGAACATCAGAAACATCCTAACCTAGGGCATACCCTAGTTAGAATTGGAAGTGTCAAAACTTTGACATTACAAAAACTTCAGAATAGGAGGTTCAAATCAAGTGTTGAGATGCCTAAAGAAGATAGTCCCTCAAAACATGCTCCCCTAGCCACCTCAGATGTTCTCATTGCAGTACCCTCATGAAGGATTTTGTTTCTATGATTCCATGAACTCCAAACAATGGAAGTGAAGAAACATCTTGAAACTTTATTTTTGTTTTGCTTTGAGAATATCTGAATGCTCAACCTTCCTTCATTTTCCAAGTGTAGAATGGTCTCAAGTCTCAACTAGATGGAAAATGAAGAAAATGCATAATTTTCAGGTTCGAAAATAAGGTGTAAAAGATTAAAAACTCTAGTATCCAATTAAGTGGAAGAAAGTCATTATTGGGGATGTTATCCTTGTTGAGGTGTAGTATTCTGATTGACAGGAAATACTCATTTGAGGTAACAAGATGTTTCTAAAACATAATGTTCAGGTAGAGTTAGAGCTAGATGTGCAACGACCACTTACAACTTACAAGGAAGATCAGCAATTAAAGAGTTCAACTCACAACAACACAAATAGGAGCTCGAATCTGTGTTGAGCAAATAATTTGTCATGAAAGGAACTACAAGAAAGATCCTTGCAATGGAAATAAATAGAAATCGTTTGGCTAGAAAGCTTTGATTGATTCAGAAGTACATTGATAAGGTAGTAAGGTACTAGAGAGGTTTAAAATGCTCAAGGCGATATAAATCAGTACATGGCTAGCAGCTCATTCAATTTCTCATTACAGGCTTCCCCAATTTGGTCATCACAGTTGTGCCATATGCAAATGCAGTGGGTTGTTTCATGTATTGATGTTTGTACCAGACAAAACATCTAAGATGCAGTTTGTTTGGTTATCAGGTCTATAGGAAATCCTGAAAAGGAGCGTTGGAGTGTAGGCTTATGTTGATTCAGATTTTACCTTAAAACTGGTAGGTCTATGATAAGTTGCATACTTAGTTTTGTAGGTAGGCCAATAATGTTCTAAATCGGATGTTCATCTTTTCTCTCTCTCACTCTCTCTCTCTATATATATATTAAGATTTCCTGATATTAATATTCTGCCATTAAAAAAATGCCATTTATATATACATCGTATTTCCCTTACACAAACCCTAATCTCTCTACCAAACACATGTCGCTAGCACTCCCTCCCTGACAGCCCAACCTTACAACCCCACGTTCCACCGTGGCAGCAAGAACACAGCTTCTCATCCTGATCAGAAGTTGGAACGTTCTTGTTCTTTATTTTGCATCCATCAATTGTTGTTGTTGTTATTGAAGTTGATCTTGGTAGCCAGATCAGTCGATTGCGGTCTGTGAGAGTCTCCGTTGGTGTTATTGTTTCAATATAGTTTTGCCATCTCTCTGGTAATGTCGTCTCTCCCTTATGCCATTTTTGTGTGTATATGTATATAGATACGATATTCGAGGCTTTTTTTTTTATTTTTATGTGTGAATAAGTTGATGTTACCTAAATCTGTAAATGGGTTTGATAAGATATTGGTAAAAAAACAAGGTGGGGATGGGATTGCTCGTCTATTGAGGGGCAGAGATGGGATTGAGATCCTAAACCGTCTGTTCGAGTTGCTGCACAATCAACCGGATGCTATAATACCACTTGTTGTGGATGAAACGCAAAAAACAACGTAGTTCGAGGAATAAACACAAGTAATCACGAAGAATAAAGACAATCACACACAAGAATACAAGATATACATGGTTCACCTAAAGATTAGGGCTACGTCTATAGAGCGCACCGAACAAATTCCACAATGAAAAAGATGAAGAATTACAATGGAGAACTTTTTTCAATCTCTCTCAATTGCTCTCTTTTGTGTTGGCACAAAATAATCAATCATACAACACGTATGATAATCTCACGCCTCTCTTCTCTTCAAGTCATACCCTAAAATCTGATTAAGGTTGATATATATAGTCCCAAACAATGAAACCCAATTTGTCCCACAAGAAGTTGCCTTTTGTAGAGAGTAGAGTCCAAAACCAATAAGGAAAACACTTCGCGTAGCTTCCCAGGGGAGTTGAACCAGTTCAAGGGAAGCTAAACCAGTTCAACATTGGCCGTAGCCAAAGCTCAATTTTGCAATTCCAGTTGAACCGGTTCAAAGCCTTCTGAACCGGTTCAAACATGTTAGTAGCCAACGTAGAAACCCAATCAATAAGCTTGAACCTCCCAAATCCTTCACATAATCAACACGTGATCAGACTCCACAAAAGCAGAGGCGGAGCACTTGTAAATCCATTCATCTTCTTCTCATGTATGTCCCATGAATGAAATGCTGAATTCTTTGCCAGATGTATCGCACTCTGACTATCACTGGTGCACTCTAACTATCACTGTGCAAAACATTCTTCACCTGTTCGGATCTCAACTCTATCAACAAACCTTGTAACCAAATCATCTCCTTGTTGGCCTTTGTCATCGCCACATACTGTACCTCTATAGTAGATAACGCTACAATCCTCTGTATTTGCGAAACCCAACTAACTGCAATTGTACCCACCGTGAAAACATATCCGGTAGTATTTCTTCTGTGATCCACCTCACCAGTAAAGTTTGCATCTACATAAACATGTAGTTTCACCTGCCCCTTTCGAGGCATAGGCTTGCCCGGATCCTTAATGG